GTGGGGGGTGACAAATGCGCGGTCCAATCTGGCTCCCGGCGTAGAGTTGGAATGGAAGAGGGATGCTGCTGCCCCGACGAATCGGATGTTTGTAGCTCGAGGCTAGTTTTGAGGTTTTTGCGTAACTGGGCGGGCAGGAATGTAACCCACGAGACCTGTCGGCCTCCCAGCTCTGCGACGTACCTGGCCAATGAGACATGACGCAAAGGGGTGCTCATGCCAACTATTCTGGTCGTCGCTCAGGCCGTCAATCTGTCAACTCAGTAATCCCCGACCAGGATGAGAACCTGAGCATCTTCAAGGATGGGCGGCTGGGCTGTTAAGCAACGTCTGCGTGGCGCCGTGTCGGCTGATTTGAGACGAACGACGTTTTGCCCATGGTAGGTGATGAGAGCCACATTCTGGGCTTCGTGTAAAACACCTGCCACGGTCTAGATGGGAGGCGAATGGTACGTCTGCTCAACTTATGCAAGGGCAATCAGAGACCGTTTAGACGTAGAAGCGATTAGCAATATCTCTCAGGATCCCAAGTTGTACTGTGGTATGGAAATGTATGCTTTCGTATGGCTCAACGTACCGTGTTCCCCCAGCTGTATACTGCTCCCCATACTCGTAGACATCAAGCAACAACAAAGGTAAAAAGGCCCAGCAAAGTACAGTTCAAGCAACGCCGACATCACAGCAAACTGCGCTCTGCACCCAGAGATTTAATCAAGGACAAAAGGGGGAAAAGGAAAAAAAATCAGTCGCGTGCTCAACATTGGTGAGCGGGTAATATGGTTCTATCTCAACGTCAAACACCATTCCGTCGTATAAAAAAAACCAACCAGCTCATTTTAGCCGAGCATCTCCACCGCCTTCCAGGCTGCTCTACTACCGTCCCCTCGACGTCATTTTCCATTAGTGATGCCCAAGAAGAAGCCTAAGCCTTGCGTTTCTTGCTGGGCTTTTCCTCGTCCTCGTCCTCGTCCATCTGACCGCCCTCGTCAGCACCGTCATCCCCAAGGTCCACCTCGCTCATAGCAAGCTCCTCACTTTCTTCTGCGAGTTTGTTAGTCCATAAATCCTTCGAAGCGTTGTGGATTCTGAAAAGGGGGTTGTAAGCGTACGGAAGTAGCGGATGGCCTCGGGCCACAGATCCTCAGCAATGGCAAGGGCGACATTGGCGCCGGGAGGGAAGACGTCGTACTTGTACTCGTGCTCGTCATCGTCCTCAGCATCGTCGTTGTCAACGTCGACGTCACCATCGCCATCCTTGTCCATCTTCACCTCGACTTCCTTGCCCTCCTGGCGGGCCTTGCGCTCCTCTTCCGCAGTCTTGGCGGCCTCGCGGCTCTCCTCTTCGGTAATGTAGTGGCCTCGGAAGCCGAAGAAGTTGAAGAAACTGTGGCCTTCCGTGCTAGCGTCCTCCTTCACCTTGAGCAGCTGAGTTTTGTTTTCCGTCACGCCAGTCTTGCCGGCCTTGTCATCCTCGTGAATCTTCTTGGCCAGGGTGAGCAGGCCTTTGGTCAAGTCCTTTCCGGGCTTCCATTTGATCTCAACAGGCTCAGACACAAGACCAGCAAAATCGTCCTTGCCGTGACGATACCAGAACTTCTTCTCGATGGTCTTGTCTTCAAAGTAGTCATTCTCAGAGAACTCGAACTTGATGGCAAAACTGCGAGGATCGCCGTCAGGAAGCTCAAAGCGCTCGACAGACATGTTCTTGAGAGCAGACGCAATGACATTAGAATCTTCATACTGAAGGTACTCGTCGATATCGGGCGGGGCTTGCTCCCAAACGAGAGGCCAGAAGCCTGGGATTTGAGAAATGACCTTGTCGCGCTTGGCGTAGAGATCGCGCGTCAATTTATGCTCGACGCGCACTGAGGTCAAGTTAGCCAAAAGTTGCCAAGCATGGATTTCGCCTGCTGAATCAGGGCAATCAAGTCTACCATAGACCTTGTGCCCATTTTATCCAGCTTACCGCAAGACCGAGCTCGGGGGTTGAACAGATGTGAAAAAAAAAGAGAGTAAGAAAAAAAACACTTACTCAACTCTATGTCAACCTGGTCAAAGTCATCTTGGATGTCCTCAAGCTGTTCGTACAGGACAGGGTCGTGAGTAGTCTCAGTAGACATTTTGCTTGCCGGGAACGGACGTGAATCTGGTAGTAAAATTGAAGGATGTGCGACGCAATATATGGAGAGAGGGAGGAGAGAGAGGACAGTGGGAGGGACAGATGGAGAGAAAGAGAGAGGGCAACAGGAAAAAAAAAAAAAAAAAAAAAAAAGGGGGGGGGGGGGT